GTTATTCTATTGATACTTCTTCCTGGACTTGGTAATCCATGAACTTCTGCATAATTTTCTAGAAAATTCTTTACTACCTCTGCAACACTTTTGTCAATCACCATTTTAGTTTTCCATTGAGGCATTCTTTTAATATTACCATGAACTCTTGGTAAAAGGCCATTGCTTATTAGGTGATTTCTGATATTTTCAAAATAAGACCTACCAATTCCTAACATATTGAGATAAGTTTCTTGACAAAGAAGTGTATTGTGATCCCAGTGGTAGAAAGTTCTTTTATTAGATCTAGTTTTCTTTTTAAGGCGTCTACTACTGCTTGTTAATCCACCATCCATTGCCCTAAATTGGGCCATTAAAAATATGTCTTGTTCAGACTTAGAAAGTGCTTGAAAGGATTCCCTTAATTCTGCAAAATTTTCCTTGGGAACCACTGAAGAACAACCACAACCACATCCTTTTTCTAAAAAATCAATTGCTTTTTGATATTCATTAGAACCATTGTATTTGTTATGTTCATTATTACCATTCATATACACCTATCCCTATATATATAATTTTATAATTTCATGTTCATTTTGTAGGTTTTCATTTATTTTAAAATTGAAATTGGTTTTGTGGTGTGGGCAGAAAAGAATTAAATTTGAGTGGATCTGCAAATCAATATCAGAAATATACATGTTGTGAGACAGTAAATCTTGGACCTATCAATTGCCCGTTAATATTGACCAATTAGAACGAATTTACTACGGAAGTCATGTGATGTGCTAAATATTATTATTGTAATGGCTACACCGCACATTGCGCAGTGTCATATGAAAGATTATTCCTATTCATATTTCTATATTTATATTTATTAACCTACTCATCTGATGTAAATATTTATTTAGAATTAGTAATTAGTTGATAAGCATATTATTGGAGAGTAGGGTAGCACATATCACATTATTTGTACTGCCCCAAGAGGTATAAATACACTTGGCTTTAGACCAAGTTAATAAGAATCATTAATTAATCAATTGTTATTATTGTTGATAACAACATAATAATAACTCTTAATAAATATATAACCTTACATAAAATAGTCTTTGACTGTAAGTAACTAATAAACCCAGTGTGATTGACCCCCCAGCCCTTCTAATGGTTAATGGTCTGGCCAACCTTTAATTATTAGTTGGGAACCCTTTTAATTATTCAGATACATCTCAAGGGGACGCCCTTGGGATATAATCATTTACATAGAACCTAGGGATCCTTTTATCCAGGAAGATAAAAGTTATTTTTATTATTAATCTTTGACTATAAGTCAGCAGGTAGGCTGTGTGTCATACATATATATAAATAAAGGAAACTTGACTGTAAGTCAGCGGGTAGGCTGTGTGTCAAACAATAGAATCAACCATAAGTCAGAGGGTAGGCTGTGTGTTGAGCTATAAATAACCTATTAACTAGGAAACTCAGATTGCACACTTGCAATACTAATTAATATATTCCTTAATTGTCATTTAAACCTTCCATGTAGAATTATTTTCAAGTAATTTTTAGTCAACATGAATCATGTAAAAATTCTTTTGTTTAAATTTTATTCTGAGACTTTGTAATCCATTACACTTTAGAATGTTGGAATATTTATATCTCCAATAGTTGGGTTTAGTGTTTGAATCCGAATCTCAAATGAGACTCATTAAGGGGGTTACACCCTATCAAAGTAGCTTAAAATCATGTGTTCACCACATGATCTTAATAATGTGCAACCTCCTTATTGAGTCTCATTTGAGATTTGGATTCAAACACTAGTTTGGTTATTCTCCGAGAGCTATTTATTCTATTGGTGCGCCTTATTAATTAGTGTAACATTTATTAAATTATACTGGTTTATTTCTTGTTGAGTTATTCCGTGATAATTAGGGATGGGGCGGTTCGGTTCGGTTCGGTTCTGGTTCCATGGAACCGGTTACAATAGAACCGAACCGAACCGAACCGTTCGAACCGGTTCCAAAATAGATGTAACACAAAATATTATTGTCAAAATTAATTTTCTTTGAAAATTTTCACTATATATTAGATTCTTTATAAAGCGAGATCAGCATAAAAATTTTCGGCAAGTGGCGCAGCACGTGATGTCTTTAGATGATTCGCACCATACCCATATACTTTTACTAGTGGCAAGGAGAATCAAATAGTAACTTTCACTCCACCAAAGAAAATTTATTTGCATAATAATATTCAAATAAATTCATGATTGTATGTATAATAAGAAAAAAACCATAGCTACTATTTTGGCCATCTAGATAACTTCAATACCCACAGAGTCTTATTAGAAGCAAAGTCTATATGACATAGCAATTCCTTATCCCACTAGAATTCAAAAAATATCATTACTGTTGGAGAGGTTCTATGGATATGTAAGTTTACTTTCTATTACTGAAACATTTAATACAATTCAAATCAAACATTCATGAAATTTATTGGAGTGAAGACTTTTTATATCATGGTTTCCTACTCTATTATTAAATTATTTTTATATACAATTTAATTATAGATAAGTAATTTCTTACTCTATTATGAATAAAGGCTATTGTTTATATGAAAAACTGCAGGTAGATGTAGTTTTTATTGAATGGAATATTGACATCTTATTTATCTATCTATTAATACTTGTTTTTATTAATAGTTATATATGCAATTAATTATCCGAGTATGATATAATATTAACATGGTGAATGGACATGGGTATATTAATATTAAATATTATTACTTTATAATCAAATAGAACATTATTCAAATTTCTTTGAAAGATTTAACTTTCTCTAATGTAATGGCATCAAATATAATAATGGCACATTAAAAGCAGTAATAACAGTAATAATAAACTCTTGTATATATATACACACATTAAAATTTTTTGTTCACTGTGATCAAAATTCCTAATTTTGGGAAGAGGTGGTAAAATCTAGAGTAAAATTTTTTAAAATATAGAAAGTTACTAATATTCAAACCATCATAATTTTTAAGTAATAAATACTTTACACAAAAATTTTCACAGAATTATTCATTGGAATTTGCTATACAAAACTACAAAGAATTTGAGTCCAAAAGTGCTCTGTGTGTCCATGTGATGGGCTTCAAAAATGTTGAATAAAATTGGTCAGCTTTAGATGACTCGAGCTATAATCATAAAATGTGCGCATTTACTATGTAACACAAACTCACATTCAATTTCTAACACTCTGCACAATAATAATTTTTATTGAATAATTCGAATAAAATGAATAAAATAGCAAATAATTCGAATAAAATGAATGAAGCAAATAAAATGAGTAATTCAAATAAAACAAAATAGTTTGAATAAAATAAATAAAATGAGTAATTAGAATAAAACGAATAATTAAAATAATTAGAATAGGGACCCTACTCTTATAAACAAGACCGAAATATTAATATAAATTTTAATTAAACGGTTGATTAATTATTCTTTCACTTGGTCAAAAAGTGACGTCAATCTTTTAATTTATATGAAATAAACAATATAAATAAAAATTCGAATATAAGAGGTTAGGTCACATGTCTGAAACACGATTGGGAGGCCATAATTTGAAATGCTATTCTAATTTGATATGTAATACCGAATATTCTAATAAATAATATTCAGAGACTAAAAAACCACCAATACCAATAATTTAAATATAATTAATAATTCAAATAAAATTAATAATTCGAATAAAACCAATACTAGTTACTACTAATATTAATATCAATTAATCGAAAAAATGTTTCAGTTAGATTTTTTTAGAAGCACGGTCTCTATTCGGATAAGGTTTATTCGAATTATTTGTTATAGTATTCAAATGTTCATTTTATAAAACAAATAAAAAATAAAAAACAAAACGGATAAAATGAACAAACGAATAATTCGAATGAAACAAATGAACGGATGAATTTTTATTCAAAATGATTAATTTAAAGTTTTGACCGATCCCCGTCCCCGGTCTGTAAATTTTATTATATAATTTATTTAATTGGAAGCCATTCATTAATAAGATTAATTATTTTCATATTTAATAGTGTTTCAAAAGTTTCACCCGGGTCACCCGTGGTTTTCAAAATTAGTATCTGGGTCACAATAATAAAAATTTAGGCATTTCATATATACTATTTTTATTGTTATGCAATATCAAATATTAAGGTTCTGCTTACATTAGTTATTTCGTGTTTAATTTTAGATATATAATTGGATTATGGACATGATCTAATCGAGTTCTGCTGTAATCAAATTACCTGTACCAGAAAATAATCTTTCGCTAAGTTAAAAATCAAAAGTATGCTTCGACTATTTTATAATAATGATGAATCAGAGGATGAATTTAATGATTGTCCAATATTTAATTCCAAATGATTCCGTTTTTCTTTCGTGAAGATATTACAAATAAATATGAATTGATTTGTTGTCAAATTAAGCATTTGGCATTGTTTAAAGAATGATCGAACTACACATTCATTATTCGATGGGTCACTTGACACTTTAGGATGTTGAATGAAATAATAAAATTTTTTTAATTCATAAAATAATTAATCGCAAAGTATTATTAGTGTGTATGCAAAATATACAATGAATCTATCCTCCCAATGGAAAGCACTATAGAATTGGTTTATCACATATCAATAGCATTATCTATTCATAGTACAGCAAGTGTAAAGTTAATTCATCAAGCTAAATTGCTGAACGGACCTTTCCTTCATAGAGCAGTTTGGTGGAGAATTAAGCTGCTTTTGCTTTGAAATAGATTTTATAATCCACGTCTCTTTTCCAAATCTCCAAAATTTAATTTCCTACATCACATACCAATACCATCCACATTTTTGCTGCTAGTTAATACGGAATGCCATCATGGACAAAATTCTGTTTTCGCCCAGATTAACCTGGGATTAACCAGGGAATCAAATGGATTAAGGTATCAGGGAGTAGTTATTATTCATGGATTAATAATCTGCAAACTGACGATGTATTAATTTTTTGGAGTTTAATAAAAGTGAAAATAGTGAAGTAAAATCATCAAACTTGAAGTTGCAGGTTAATTGTCATACACATAAAATATCTGTCAGAATGAACCCACCTACAAGTAGTCAACCATATACAATCAGCTTATTTCTCTGATTGTCATGTAAATATTTCCACTTTTTGAAAGTATAACACAGCAAGTTTGACTTTATCTTTTTCTGTGAAGCAAGTGACATACCAAGTGGACATAGTCCATATGCCACTTTTCCATATAAGGCTTCAAAATTATTGGAAGTCCTTGTGAGTATGCCTCTCATAGCATCAGAGGAAATTTTTTCTGACGCAGATTTACATAATTATTACACTATTTATGTGGGCCTCATAATATTATGCAAATATTACATTGAGTGTAAATACTACATAATTTTTTATGCAAATTAAAATTTATGAATGTAATAATATTATGGTGGGGAAAATTTCCTGATGAAAATCTTGAAAGATTTCAAAGATTTCACTTTGGGAGAACTCCTTACACCCATAGAGACTTTCCTGCATTAGGTCAAAGATGCACCAGTAACTCAACCTATTAAATTGCAAGCAAACTTAAAAACAAGTAATTTTATTATGTTATAATTTGACATATCTTGGGAATTTTTTCTTGATAGTTCTTGAATTCTTTGCAAAAATTCTTGCTTTTGAGTATATCAAATATAATTATATCAGCATGCTAAGAATATAATTCTCAAGTTTTGACTTGACTATATCAAACAAAAACTTACATCAATGATCTTCTTTGAAGCTGGTAATGTTGTCTCTCCTTTCAAACCTGATTCATCAATAGAACTAATTAAAACACCCTCATTCGATTCGTCAAAGAGAACAGACTCTTCCGTTGGTTCATCATTGACTGTTCTTTTTTTCTGTTCATTGGAACTTTTTTGTCCTTCAGGATATCTTGTTTTAATTACTCCAATTTATTTTTTTCATTTATTTTTTTGACTTTTTAATGGCATTTTGAAAAAAAAACCATGTATATAGTGCAAGTCACTTAGTTGCCGAACTTTTTGTGCCATGATGCCAATTCTTCAAAAAAACTAGAGTGATGACAAATGGTGGTGATAACCACCACCACCATTCTTACAATAAACAACACTTGCCTGGAAATTTCTTCTCTTTAATGTTCTTTTTTGGTGGTGGCATTTTTAAAAATTTTTAAAAAAGAGATTTGTTATTTGATCGACAGCACGTACACTAATGGAATCCCCTATTTTTTTATTTTTTTTTGAAAAACAATTTATTTTTTGACAGATGACAAGACGCGAGTGATGTTATTTGGCATGATTGGGCTCTAAAAAGAAACGTGTTAATAACTAACCAAAGATAACTTTTTTTAATTTGCATTGATATGTCTTTTATTTTATATAAATGAATATTATTGAAATCAAAACGCGGAGCAGAACTCGCTGGGTAAATATAAGATTCTCATCAAGATGGTAAACAATTGGTATTTGGCTTTTTGTAATCAACATTATTATTAACATTAAAATAGATAATAAATTTGTTACTATTATTTTTCTTCTAGAGGTCTTGGCTTTTTGTTGGGTAATAATGCATCATCATGATGTTTTATTTTTTCGACACTTATTATTTTTCCTTCTTTGAAAATGTAAGATGCAATTTTTTCATCCTGTTCCTTTTTAAAAATATTTCTAATGGTGCTATAATCCTTGGATTCCATAGTAGTTCTGATATAAATTAGTTTCATATTAATTATTTTTATATAGGGTAGTTCTATATATATCATTTAAGATAACAAATGGGATATTATTATCTCAAACGGTCAAAGTATTCTTTTAATGGTAACACAAAATGATTTTTTGATCACGACCTTGCATTCTTATTGGCCAATTTAACGATCTGCAAAGTAAAAATAGTCAATTGACCAACTTTTAAGGAATATTTTACAAAAACCACAAGGACAACAACCGAATTTTTATTCACAGATCAATCAGCCGAATCTCAAAGAACATTTTCGTATTAGGAAGTGATACCTTCAGAAAAAGTTTTTATAACAGAAAAAAATTTCGGCTATCAATAGCCGAAAAACCGTTTAAGGGATAAAGCTGTTAATTATGATCACATTACTAAATTTTGATCCCTTGAAATCCTTGGTATAATACCAATGTTCAATGTTAATGTTACACGCATGTCATTTTTTTATTATCTAATAGTTTCACCGATTATAGTCTATATATTAATAGATAATAATGCATAAAGAACACAAAATTTGGGTTTTCGATTTTATTGGAAATTAAAAATTTCAAACCTTAAATAAATAGACTGATTTTTTATAAATATATATCGATTTTGGTCTGAGGGCGCTTAAGGTACCTTTTGCTAGAGAACTCGATGTTGTGAATCGCTTGAGTAAAAGGGTAAAATGACAAAATATTTTATTTTTATTTATTTAATTTAAATAAACAAGATTAAAGAAAAGAAAAGGCTTATTGACTAAATGATATCATTAGCCAAAGATAGAACCAAACAACCTAGAATTAATTTTGTGATAATTACCACCCCAGAAATATTTATGTATAATGTAAATAAAATGTATTTAATTAATTGGTATTATTATTATATTATTATCATTTATTATTAATAAATAGTAAACGAGGATTTATGTAACAAAGGTCTTATCTAGTACGATATTTTTTTAAAATTTAATCTTTAAGGAGATATATTGTTGGGCATGTAATTATTAATAAAATATATTAAATCAAATATTATTGATTTAGACAAATGAACCAATTTATGCAATTCAATTTCTCTTTATGATAAACGGACTGCATGAATAAATAATATCCCAAATAAGGCAATGAAATGTGTTTTGTTATTTATTATTGTTACAATCTCTGTCGCTTCCGTCGTTGTTGACCACAACAAGAGTTTTTGAACTCTCTAGAAGTTGCATAAACATGTAAACATTAATTAAAATTAATTTATTGGTAGAACCTGAAAAATCAATAACTTGTGATGTGTAATTAATCAATGCATATTTATTTTTGGTTGTTTATATTTTTTGCATTCTTATGAGGATTATAAATACAAGAGAAATTTACCACTCTTTATTCCTCGTCTTTAAACCATAAAATTCACTGTTTATTATCAAGAAAAAATTATTTTTCTTTCCTTCCTTAATACAAAATCAACATCATCCCCTGCCTTTATTTTCCCTCTCTCGCAATCACACTCACACTTTCATTACCATTATATAAAAAAAAAAATTACCTTTCACTTCTTTTTATTTTTCAAATCAATTATTACAAAATGAAAATTTTCGCAATTTCTGCCGTTTTATTGATCATTTCAACCGTTGCCAATGCAAGATTTTTTCAAGAGGAAAGGAGTCCCTTTATTAAAAGATTAGAAAATTTCGATAGAAGTAGTACTGTGGGTGGTTTCCTTGCCGATATCTCAGGAACTTGTATTGACTCTTTGGTAGCAGCTGCTCCACCTTGCTCCATGCAAGATCAATGCGACAAGATCATTGATGTGGCTAAATCTCGGTTCACACGTAATTAATTGATTGATTGATTATTAATTAATTGATTGATTTAAAAAAATGACATATAATAATAATACTTTTGTTTATAGGTTATAGTAAGAAACAGAGAATACAACTTATTAAAATTGCCCAAGGATTGTTACAAGCCGAAAAGAATACACCAGCAAAGGGATTAAGATCTGTTGATTGTAACAGATTACCAAGACATGCTGAACTTAACGGTCTATTCGCCAGACAAGACCCTAGCAATGGTCCCGGAAGAAAGATGAAACCATTCGTTCCCAAAAAATTCACTAAAATCAGAAATTTTATACTCAAAATTAAAGGCAAAATAATTTCACCTGGAAGAAGATTCCAAAGAGCCGGTCCCCACAAGAGAGGTGTAACACCAAAATTCAGTGGTAAAATCGACGGAAGAATCTTTAAAAGAGAACAATCAACAATCCTCAGTTTGGTTAACAAAATCGACCGAAGCAAATTAAACAAAGCTCAAAAGGACCAATTGACCAATTGTATCAAGACATTGAAAGAAAATAAGAAGTCCAAGTTAATCAAAGCCGATTGCGAACGTCTCATCCAAGAATTATTTGTGAAATCCCCAAAGAAAAACTAAATAATAATATACAGTGAACATTTAAAATTTTCATCAACATTCGAATAATTTTCTCCTCCTATCATTGTACATTCGCTATAATATAAATATAAATAATATAATTTTTAATAAAGGGAATCAGGGGCTTTTTTTTAGAATAATAAAAAATTTCAATTAATATAAATAATAATTAATAATTAATCTTGCGTTGTTATTATTATTGTAATACGTACCACATCTGTCATCCCATTATGTAGATCTTTTACATTGCCAAGGATTGAAACCATATTAATATATGGAGTGCAAAAACAACACAATCTACTAATTAATTTTAAAGTTACACCCACTAAATTGGACCAGGAAAACATTGAATATGACCGCCAACACTATGATTCGAAAGTACTTAAAAAATGTAAAGTGTGAAGATGGTGACCGCAACACTATTATAGTGAATTTAAATCCAGAAAGGAAGTCACTCCGTAAGGAATACATTTTAATTAGCTTCCGTAAGTCATTAATTTACCTAACACTAAACAGAAGGTTTGCGCTAATGTGATTAGGCGCTTGATGTTGGTGAAATTATTTTATTTCATGAAATGTATAAAGTAAATTTCCAATAGTATTAATAATATCTATTTTCCACCTGGAAATTTCCCATATATTATTAATATTAATTAATATTAATAAAAAATGTCTCAAAGTTGATATTTGTATTTTATAGCTCATAAATATACACCTTTTTTAAATATACAAAATGCGGGTTTTTATAAATATGCACGTGACTTTTTCATTTGATTTTTTTACTCGTTATATTTTCAACATAACTTTTTTAAAGGTTCAATATATATACATATATAAAACGAATGTCTGTCTCAAGAATCACGGATTTTAATAATAAACTATCATCATTATCAGATAACAACAAAAGAATAGGAAACATTTATTCAATCAGAAGAGATGATGACGACAAACTACATGATATAAACCAAAAAACTGACGAATAATCAATAAAATAGAACCAAGGAAAATTAAAATTAAAATAAAAAAAATAAACCAATCCAACTCGCTCGCTAGTAATAAAAGTATTTGGAAGAAATCGAAGGCTTGCGGAAGGATTTAAAGCAATTATTTGATAAAAAGATTTAATATTAGTAAAATGCTAGTGGAGATCTACGTATCATTTATGACCCTAGAAAAGCAATTGGGTTAATATTAATAAGAGAAAGGAGAGGAGGATAATGATAATGACAATGATAAAGAGGGAGAAATCAGCAACATTAATAATGTTATTATTTTAAAATAGTTATATTTTCACCAGAGTGACCAAAGGATAGATAGGCAATAGATAAATACTCATCCATCTTATAATTTTTCTATATCTTGGTTGCAATGAAATCAATAATAAAACATGACTTATTTTTAATCCTTTTCTTGAGCATAAATGAATATCTTGTCTATTGTATCATCATGTCTATTACAATAATGTGTTTAATCTATTTAAAAGAAAGAATTGAAATTATTCTTCCGAATGGAACATCTAAATTATTTTCAACAAGTACTAATTAGAACAAGAGAATTACATCACCAAGGGCTACCGGAAATAAGGGAACTAGATTATTGAACCTTTATAATATATAAATAACGTTGTAATTTTCTTCATTTTTTTTTTATTATCTTCATTTTCCTGTATCTTTATAACTTCATAAATTGTAACCATTTAATAATAATAATAATAATAATAATAATAATAATAATAATAATAATAACAATAATAATAATAATAATAACAATAATAATAATAATAATAATAATAATAATAATAACAACAACAACAACAACAACAACAACAACAACAACAACAACAACAATAACAAACCTTTAATAATGAAATTAATCCCAAATTAAAAAGAAACTCTTCTGACGATGAAGAAATAAAGGGCTAGTCTTCATACTAATCTTGTATAAATATTTTATTTTTTTTCTGTTTAGCGGCTATACGGATTATAGTGAGAGATAATTTAGAAAGTAAAGCATAATAATAAATATATATTAGCGGAAATTATTTTTATTTGTGACTCGGACACGATCTCAATTATTATTAATCGAGGCTTGCTTTTTACTGTCATGAGCTTGAGTTCGTAAGTGTTCGTCTATTACATATTTTCTTTCATAATTACAACATGTGAACAATGTTTACAAAATAGTTTATTATTGCTTGCATAATCTTCTTTATATTTTGAATATTTAACTAAATATTCGTGTGCTGAAACCATCATCCCAAATTTAAATTTTAGTTTGGTATCACGTAAAAAATCTGTTATTATTTTCTTTAATCATTGAAAGTTGAGAACTTTTTTCGTCCTCACACCAAGTAAGTATAATCGGGTTTTCCTAACATTTAATATTAGGATGAGGAACCTGGCCGACTTTTGTGTCCTTCCGATCAGATCAGAGAATGGAGCGATGAGGATAATTTAAATATTCGAGAAACTAGTTTCACTTGATACTTGCCTTGAGGGGAAATAGAGTATAAATTTTATAAATAATTCTTTCGAATTTCTCCAACTTCTCAACCTACACAAACTCTAATTTGCTGAGTGGTGACAACGTAATCTTTAACATTTAAAAATTTGTCTGTGAAATAATAATAATAAGTAATTTTCTTGTTGTTTTCATCCTCTTATATATTGATAATTTAATAGACTTTGTGCATATTTCTTACCAATTGTTACTTCAATTCTATAATAGTTCACAATCTATTGAGTTATTTTCATTATCCAATTTGTTAAAAGAGCATTTACATACTTTGGAAAATATTTTGGCAATCATTTTAGAAATTGTTAGAAAAGTTTTCTCATTTTTAATAATACTAGCTATAATCATTATAAGCTTTTCACATGCATTTTACATTTTATTTAGAAGGATTATACAATAGACAGCCCTGATTTCAGAGATAATGATTCCAATAATCCTTTGGAGCCTTGCTTCTAAATATTTTACATAATCAGAATTCAACAACCTGATGGAAATACAAACATGTTTGCGCATTTTCATACCTCCATGCTGCTGACAATGCATAATTTCTTCACACATTAATATGATTTTAAAATAACATTTTCAATATGTTCACTAAAGTATTGATAATATAATGGTTTTTTAGGTGATAGTGGAGCATTTGGATATTGGTAATTAAAATCTGGACCATATCTGGTAATGCTATTTGTTTTATTTTCATTTGTTGTTGTAGTGTATTTATTCATTGTTCTTCTAAGCAATCAAATTGAAAACTATAATATAAATGAAGCATTTTTGGCTCAAAAGACAAAAATTATATCAGAGATTGAATCATTTTATTTATTTCCTAATCAACATTGTTGGAAAGAATGGTTTCCTGATATTTTATAATATACAAGTTTTATTTTATCTTTGATAAATTATTATAAATAATTATAATTGAGACCTTTTCTAGTAAAATAGATTATTACAAAGTTGATAATAAAATCTGTAATTCCTTGTTTACATACAAATTTAACTTTGAAAGATAATACAAAGTTCAAATTATGTAACACCTCAGTTCCTCCCACTGTTGACTCCAGATTGAAAAAAGTAGCAATAACTTTGATAATTTTATTTAGATTTAGTAATATTATAACTTTCTTATTAATGGTTTGGTCTACTTCTCAAGAACAACCTTTGGACATGGCTATTTAATTGGTTAGCCATGACATTCAGAGAGAGATGTTTACAGTAACTTTTTCTCCCAAAAAAAAACCAATTGTTACCAACATATTAATATAAATTTTGATATTAATATTTATTATTGATTTGGTGAATTAATTGATGCTTAATGAGCGAATAATTGATTATTAAATAGTTCTAAAATTGTAATCTTTAGAATATAAATATTTGCTATTCCTATTTTTCCTATCATCATCATCAGCATCATTGTTTGTTTCTTTTAATCACTCATCAATACCATCAAATGTAATACACTACTACTTTTAAATCTTCCTCTATAACCGGCATAACTATTTGTAGTATACATATTTGAAATATTGCTACTCCTTCTTATATCATTATTTCTTCTATTAATACCATTTGCAATGCCACAAATTCCTCTATCATTATTACCATTTGTGATATTGCTAATTCTTCTAGTGTTACCACTTGTGATACCATTCTTCTATTTTTTCTTTCACCGCCACCCTGATGATGGTGACAATAATGACACCTTCTTTTACTAAAATCATGTCTAATATCACTGTCTTTTATGCCTTTTATTTCCATGCCTGAAATCACTGTGCTCTTTATTGCTACTAATGTTATAATGATAATTCTGCTATCTTTTAACTTTCTTAAAGTTGATGGTTGAATAACAGATTCTGAAATTTGTATGTAGGCTCAACCTGATATTCTTAATATAAAAGTTGGTGATATTTTGCTTGCTGTTGGAATTTGGGAATTTTAGATGAATTAAAAGATGTTAATACCACCAAAGATTATACAATATTTGTTCTCAAAATTACCAAAGAAGTTTAAAATTTTTTATTTCATTTATATATATATATATATATATTATTTAATTTATAATATGATTTGTTCACTAATATTTTCATCATTGTTTTCATCATTGTTTATTTTATTTCTTTTTCTAAGAATATTTGAAATGAAAAATTCTCCTGCTTTATAACTACTTCTTACTAAAGGACCAGATGCAGTGTATAAAAATCCTAGATCATTACCCACATTTTCCCAATATTTAAATTTCTCCGGTGTTACATATTCATGAACTTTCATATGATTTTTTGTTGGTCTCATATATTGTCCCAGTGTAATGCAATCGACATTAATATTGCGAAGTTCTGATAATTCAGAATAAATTATTATTTACAAAAAAATACAATATATATATATCAATTAAAAAAAAAAAATAATTAATTACCCTTTAAGGTGTTCATTACTTCTTGATCTGTCTCACCAACTCCCAACATTATGCTTGTTTTTGTGATCATATATGGTTTTATGCTTTTAACATGTTCCAATACTTTAAGGCTTTGTCTAAAATTGGCTCTCCTATCTCTCACAAAAGGTGTTAATTCTTCAACTGTTTCTACATTGTGTGCATAAACATCTAAACCAGAATTTGCTACTGTAGAAACACAATCAAGATCACCTTGAAAATCACTAGTAAGACATTCCACTAATATATGTGAAGCTCTTAAAACAACAATAATAAAATAATTCACATTAAATAGAGTTGTTAATTAAATTTATAAATCCATATTTTATAATAATCAATTATTCACTTCTTTTTTAGTAAACGTATGGTATTTGCAAAATGACCAGCACCACCATCTTTAAGATCTATAAATTTATTTTTGTAGAATAATTTAATTATCATCTATCAAAAATATTAAGGTGTATATATATATATATATATATTTATATTTACCATCACGATCTACTGAGGTTAACACAACATAATCTAAGCCCCATCTTGAAATTGCCTCAGATACATTTTCTGGCTCATTTGGATCCAAAGCCTTTGGCTTTTTATTGGTTTTTACAGAACAAAATCTACAACCTCTAGTACATTCATTTCCCATCAACATTATAGTAGCTGTCGCTGTCTGATGTTTACCTCCACCCCAACAATCACCAATATTCGGACAACGAGCTTCTTCACAAACCTATTTGAATTATATATATTTTCTTGATAAGATACTGAATTGGGTTATTCGAAATTAGTAAATTAACTTGCCGTATTAAGATTTAAACCGCGTAAATCATTTTTAATTTTTGTGTAGTTTGCTCCTACAGGAATTTTGGTCTTTAACCATTCAGGCAATCTTGTATATCTATATGGATTCATGAATGAGCAAAAGGAATAAATAATGATTTAACATTTCAAAGGCTATTACTCACCTATTCATTATTTCTCCGTGTAACCTCGATTATCCATTTTTAATTAATTTAATCTCTACTTATACAGGACCCCCAGTCGCGACCCTTTTTTTAAACATGCAACGTTTTCCTACCAATTTTAGCATATAACATGTCAAAAAATTAAAAGCTTCATCCATATAAGACATCTAACTTCATATGTAACCATTGAAAATATATTAAAGAAGTAAGAAAATCATATTAATATATATTTTTAATAAACATGTCTGAACCGAACCTAATATAACATTATTATTTTCAAGATAAAACACTATTTGAAGTAATTGCGAAAAAACAATAATAATAAATTTTTGTCAATAATTTAGTATTAGTAATAAGCAAACAGGGTCTTTAGAAAATTTACTTGAAATGGAAAACTTTCTATATCAATTACAATTTAACCCTTCCTTGCCTAGTGATATGAGCCAGCTAAGCCAGCTAAAAAAAATTTAACATTCATTTTTATGTCTGGAATTTTAGTGCAGAATTTAGTGGCATAGATACTTAGTTGAGATGGGTTCATCTGCATTACTTGGAATGACAAAAAAAAATACATTTGCTTTGTAGCAGGATAAAAGCGATTGTACAAATCCTTATTTGAATTATTCACGATACTCAAATCTTAATTCGTTTGTCTTATTTGTTTATTCGAATAAACTTTCAATGTAATTCAAATATTCAAATTCATAACAAAAAAATGAATAAACCATTAAATAGTAATTGTTATAATAAATAATAGCAATAATAATATCAGTTAATATAACAAGTTATTTCAATGTTCTGATGATATCACAGTAAAATAGACGTTTAGATATTTTTTTTACTTATAATGATGAAGTTTCATATTTTCCATAACTTTTGTTCATTGGAGTTGCAACAAATTATGCTGAACTTTGTTAATTGGTCGAATTGTTTATATCTCTATAATGAGAATTTATAAGCGTTTATTGCAGCTGTACGTAGCAATAGTAGCAACAGAAGAGACGCTTAAAACATTGACTTATTGGTTGACATTATTTTCTGGTGGATTTGTTGGTTCTGGAGTATTTTTGCGAATGCATTTATTTTAATCTTTCAACACGTATTATATGGAGTTGGGATTTTATTAGAAAGTAATTTTTAAATAAATGTGAATCAAATGAAGAAAACGATTTAAATTCAATAAAAGTTATCAAATTTGTAATCTTATATAATAAGCTGGCCTATCAAACTTGTATATTGGATGAGACGCCCGCCTTTGAGGCCAAAATTAATATTGGTTTTACCTGTATGAATGTTGTTATTAGAATAGTCGTATCCTTTTTTTTAACATCAACATTAATTTTTTATAAAATGCATTTGAAAAGGATCGTTAAAAATAGAATAAAAACATTTCATTCATAAATTGTTAAATTTTTATAATATGTATTCATTATTAAGTCATTAAATGCTGTTTTAATAAATAATCATTATTGATCAAATAAAATTTACAATAAATTACTGATTTTAAAATTATATAATTAAAAATATATGAAATCTATTGAAGATAAAGATAGAACAATAATGATAAGTCTATAAATATTATAAATTACAAAATTATAAATTAAAAAATAAGTTAATTAAATTAAATAAAGTCTTTAATAGGTCATATACAAAACTAAATTAAGATAAAATAAATTATCAAAATTTAAATTTATCTATATATATGTATATGTGTGTGTGTGCGCGTAAATAAGTTACCACCATGTTTCTTCATCACTTCCAGAGTTAACACCATCACTATCACTCTGAGATTCTTCTTCATGTAGTACAAAGAAAGGTCTTGTCTTTGGAAAATTATCTTTTCTTCTCAACATTACATCTTTCATTATTAATATTCTTTCTCTCATTGATTTTTTATTAGCTCTATTATGTAATAAATGGTAATCACTATCATTATCATCAATTGTATCCCCTTTCATTATACTCCATTTCTTAGGCTCGCCACCTTTTTTAGACTTTCCGTGAAATACAACATTGTTTAAATACAAATATATCCTATTTAAAACACCAGAATGCAAAAATCCTTTTTTGCCACCATTTTGCCAACACCCTCTTTTTTCCAAAAATTCTTCCAGCTCTAATCTTGTCATTGGCTTGTAACATATACTAACACTATATGCAGGTGAAAAATCCCGTGGATTTTTAGATAAATGTGGTATCTCTTTATTATTTTTTCTCCATAAGTCTTCCCAAAACAAGTACCACCATTGATGAACTCTTGATAAATTAACGATTCTCATACGTTCATACAAATAAACTAAACTTGGGTAGTCACTTTCAGGAATAGATTGTACGAGATGATTGTTCTCGGTTGATACCAACAATACCGGTAATGCTTCTAGTGGTATCGAGGGATTATCATAAACGTTGAAAAAAAATCCGTAGCTAAGTGTATCTTCTTTCCATTTCGCCTCATCATGATAAAACTTTCGATATTTCTTCATAATACTTTGAACACTAACTAAATTAGTTTCAAGAATATCTTCGTTATCATTAAAAAGTTTTTCTAATTGAGGTGTCATCTGGAAATCATCAGTAATTCCTATAACATCATGCCCAACAATACGTTCCTTTATAGGTTGTTTTACCACATCATCAGTATCCCATCTACTAGAACTCGTATAAGTAATGGTAACAATGAATCCAGGGTTCATATTATGATCCTGCCATTTAGTTCTTTGATTTCTTTGAATAGATAACAAACCACGATGATAATGAACATCTGGTAATCCAAAGAAATCCTAAATCAAATAAATTTTGTTTTTATTTAAAGAGAAATAATTAATAATTAATAAACAAAATTAAATTGATATTTATATAGTATGTAAATATAATTTACCATATCTTGAATATTTTTAACAGAACCGTGCGAAAAAACATCAGACTTATCACGGCATGGTCCAATAATCAATTTACCCTCCAAAGCTCTAATTTTTTGTCTAATTAAACGACGTCTTTGAATTTCTTTACTTTCATTTTGTTGCATAAATCTTTTAATTTCCCATTCTTGTGTCAACACAACGACATTCTCATCTTCATCATAAACCATAACTACTGAAAATGGAAAAGGTACTACGTAAGCCTTACCAAAGCATGTTTTGTTTTTGGTTGTCATGTATTCTGGTGAATAATACATATCAGGTCCAACGAAACGATTAAAAATTTTTGATCTCATCGTTATTAATGATGCTGGCAATGGTGCCATTGATTCAACGTATTTTTTCATACCAATTTGTCTAATGATTTTCAAATTTTCTGCATGTCTTTCTCCAACAGTACCACCAAAATTTAATAAATAAGGTGGTCTATATGGACTTTCAGAAAATCCAACAGGTTTTCCCTCGGGCATTTTAAATTGTTCATCTGTTAAAAGTAAAGTTGTCCATGTCTCTTGCCATATTCTTCTTTTGATGTGTTTTGAGAAATCTAATTTTGGACTGTAAATGTTCAAAGAAAAATCTAATTGCTTTTTCATAATTTTCATGAAACTTTGGAATCTGTTTGTTTGCTTAACAACATACCAAACAACTATTAAAGTTACTATACAATCAATAACTAAAATTATAATATAATTTGTTGTTAAATATCCAATATGTAGGATATTAAATAATCCCAAGACTGTTGTAATCACATAACTAAGCCTTGACCAATATTCACCCGTATTTTGTGAACGGTAAATAAAAGGCTCGCTTTTCCAATGGATCAAAAGCAAGAGAACCATCAATACTATTTGCAAGCTTTGTCTTATAGTCTCTATATTCGTTCTCGCAACAGTTCGAAAAAGACAATTATCTTTGGAGATTACAGATATTAAAAATAAACTAAAAAATTTGTTTGCCATAATAAATGATTTATAACTTGTCCATCTTTCACTATATCCATTATATATAAAATTGTAAGGACATGTATCTTTATCCATTAATTTTATAAATTCTTCATCTTTGTTTTTCCTTGTTTCTCCCGTTTCAGTGTATGCATCAACTTTTGGAACATTCTTATCAACCAGTCGTTTGAGCGCAACGGGGAACCAAAATGTCATAAAACTAATGGTTACCAGTGCGATACCAATTATAACTGGTGAAAAATTCAAATCTTTTTTATTCATGCTAGTAACATAACAGAAATCTTTTAAATCACGAAGTGAATCACCATTACTCACTACGTCTTCAAAAACCGGATCATCTGAATTTAAATATGGATTTGGAATAACCCAGAATGTATCGGCCCAGACTAATGCATCAATAGACAATTTAGAAACAGGCAAGTACAATGTTGTAAGAAGAAATATCATTGCGATATTATGACGTTTTTTAGATTCTGGTCTAAGATTCCAAGGACTTGATTCCAGACCCTAAATAAAATATGAATTTGTATAAGTATTTTTAACGATTCTAATATTAAATATATATGTGCGTTTGTGTCAATTAAAGTTTACCTCAACATCAGCATTTGGATCATATTTTGTCATTAGCTTGAACCAATACAAACCCACAAAAGTAAGAACACAAAATACTAAAAAGAAAGCATAACCGTAACCAAACACGAAAGATAAATTCAAGCCAAACAAATTAGGTATAATGCTCAAAATTACACGTAACCAGCCACTCAAAACTCCAGAATTTGTAAATGATAAAGCCAATGCCAAAAATTGTATGAAATCTCTTACAATTTCAAATCTCATAATATTTGATCCGAGTGAGAATCCTTCAATGGTGAGAATGCCATCAATTGCATTACTTATAATATCGTTTTGCAGGCCCTGATTAATAAATTTATTTGATTTTTTGGTATTGTTTTTGAGAAATTAGGTATAATGCTCAAAATTACACGTAACCAGCCACTCAAAACTCCAGAATTTGTAAATGATAAAGCCAATGCCAAAAATTGTATGAAATCTCTTACAATTTCAAATCTCATAATATTTGATCCGAGTGAGAATCCTTCAATGGTGAGAATGCCATCAATTGCATTACTTATAATATCGTTTTGCAGGCCCTGATTAATAAATTTATTTGATTTTTTGGTATTGTTTTTGAGATCATCTAGGGTAACATCTTCTGGAATTTGATTCATTGGAGGAAAAATGGAGTTATCAACTTTCTTTCCTTTTTTAACCTTCTCAATAAATTTCTCATATTCTTCAGTTGTCATTAAATCTTTTGGAGATGAAAATTTAGTTACTGGTAATGACTTTATGAATTCGTTGAGATGAGGCAAATGAATCCACGGAGCACCAGGTTTAAATAGTTGATTCGACTCTGATTCATCAAAAGGATTTATACTAAACTTTGTGATCTTTGCAGGATCTAACACAGCATCTGTCATTATTGCCATGGTAAAATCTGGTTTCTTTTCATCGTTTGAAAAAGTATCGAGGCGTGTTAAATCTGGTACAGTCATGTTATTTTTACGAAAAACTTTATTGAACTTATCATGACGATGTTTAACGGTAAGGTCTGGCAATGATTTATTGATCTTCCCGTATTCAGTTGAAGATAGATTATGAGGAACAAGAACAGACATTTTTGATTTATTGGTAGCGTATTCTGGTAAATTATGATTTTGATATTTTAAGAAAGATTTATCTTTTGCCTGTTTCTTTTTAAGTGAATTTGCAGGTGAAAGAGTATTTCTTTCGGGTATTCTAGTGCCATATGGATACTTTGGAATTTTGACTGGTTTGAGAGTATTACGCTTTACAGATCTAATACCAGAAGATGAATTGATTGTCTGAAATGATCCAGATTTTCGTACAGCGATTGTTAAGGCAATATCATCATCCTTTTTGTATGGTTTAGGTGGTGGTTTGGGTGGTTTAGATGATGGTAATTGTGAAGTTGGTAATGTAGATCTAGTAACTTCGTCAGTCTTTTCATCTTTGTCAGATTTTAAAAATCTACCAAGATTTTGCATTAATTC